CCTGGGGTCCCTCTGCCCCCTCCTCAGCCTCCGAGGGGAGGGGTGAGCCCCCAGCTAAGGGACCACCACCTGCAAGTGTCCCCAGGGGAGGGTGGGCACAGACTTTGGGGCTGTTGGAGGAGCTGGGGGTGCTGATCAGAGTGAGATTAAGGCTCCCTGCAGCCTTGGTGCCCTTCAGCAGGGGTTGAAGGTGGGTACGTGGCTGGGGGACACCCAGAGGAACTGGGGGACAGAGGAGTCCTGTTCCCAGGTCTATTTCTCCCCAGCACATTGTTCTCTAATCCTGTAGCCCCTGGACATCATCAGGACACAGAGACCAAGGGCACATCCCATCAGGAGACTTCAATATCCCCGTGGCATCATGTCCTGGGGCTGCTTTGGCAGGGATGGCACCACCAGGGCCACACTCCCCTCCAGCCAGATCCTGTCCCTGTGCCACCACCAGCCCTGCCCTGGAGCCCTTGGTGCCCACCAGGCGTTGACCTTGTGTGCTGTATTTACCCTGACAAGCAGTTCCTGGTCCTCAGCCCTGCTGGGGGTGGGGGGCAATGCTGTGGGGGGGCTCTGCCCTTTGCTGCACTTCACCCCTTGGCTGCAAAAATGGAGCTGCCCCAATTTTAGGCACCAGGGGACAGTGGTTGGTCTTGTCCCTCCCCCCCCTCTCCCCTCCCTTGTGCATTGCTAGTTGGGTGGCTTTGCCCCAGCCATTGTTCGGGGAGGACAAAGCCCAGGCACGTGAGCAGGGGACAATGGCACCCACAGGGACAATGGCACCCACAGCTGGCCTCACCCAGGCCCGTGCTGACCTGACCCGTGCAGGAGCAGCCTGGCACTGGTGGCACCCAGGGCTGCTGCCAGCCACAGAAGCTGGGTGCAGGGTAACTGTGCCCTGAGGACCACGGGCATCCCCTCTGGATGGACATGTCCCCCCTTCCCTTCCTGGGACATGCTCAGCTTCCCCTGTCCGGGGGGATTCAGGGCTGCACGTGGGTGTTTTGCAAAGGGAGAAGCTGGAAAACACGGCGTGGGTGTGATCCCTGCAGGGGTGGGGGGTTCCCTGAGCCAGATCCCCCATCCTGGGGCACAGGGACACCCAGAGCCCCTTGAAGCCCCACATCCTTGGCCCTGGCATGGGGCTCTTCCCTTGATTTGGATTTTATTGGGGCTACCTGAGTTTGGGAACAGGGAGGGGGCAGCTTTGCTGTTCCCCTCTGCCAGGGAATCTGAAACACAGAGCCCGGACTGGACTGGAAAAACTGGGGGATTCCTTAAACTGCACATTTCACGAGAGTCTAAGTTACCTGGAGATGTTGATCTTTTGTATTATAGTTTCTTTTTCCTTTTTTTTTTTTTTTTTTTTTTTTTACTTTTTTTTTTTGGGGTTCCCTGAGCCAGATCCCCCATCCTGGGGCACAGGGACACCCAGAGCCCCTTGAAGCCCCACATCCTTGGCCCTGGCATGGGGCTCTTCCCTTGATTTGGATTTTATTGGGGCTACCTGAGTTTGGGAACAGGGAGGGGGCAGCTTTGCTGTTCCCCTCTGCCAGGGAATCTGAAACACAGAGCCCGGACTGGACTGGAAAAACTGGGGGATTCCTTAAACTGCACATTTCACGAGAGTCTAAGTTACCTGGAGATGTTGATCTTTTGTATTATAGTT